AAAAAGAAGTAACACAGTTACATTGAAAAACTTTGTATAGGTCAGAGAACTTGGAAAGGCAGTGAATGGCAAACTCACATTATAGGAACAGTGACAAATTTCACATTATTCTTGATGCTTGGTAGTACAGTTTTGTCAGTAAATAATCAAAAATTATAGTAGATATATAGAATTATGAATTTATATTCTAAAATTATTCACATATTTTTAGTTTGAGAATTATATCAGTTATTAGAGTACTTTTCTATTGCTTTTATTATTGGATTGTTAATTAGAAGGAAGAAGTATAACAATGATTTGAACTTCTAAACATGCAAATAGATTACTTGAAAAACATAATATATAATTATTAGGTAGTTTACACTTTATAAAACTTGCTTACCCCTTCTGGAGGATATCTGCTTAGTTAATGGAGAGGGAGAGACATTTTCTTCAGTGGGTTAGCCACTGGCAGCGTCCCATGTCCCCATCAACAAACTTTCACCCATGCTCCTGTAAAACTCACACAAAGTGAAAGTGGGGGTAGTAGCTGGGAAGAGATAGGGGAGGATTACAGGAGCAAGAGGATAGCAGAATGGTGTATGACTGACGTACATTACGTACATGTGTGGAAATATCACTGGAACTCATGTCTAATGAATATATGCTAATTAAAATTTGCTTATTGGGCCAGGGGTATAGTTCAGTTGGTAAGTGCTTGCTTGCAAATGTGAAGACCACGGTTAGATCTCTAGAACAATGTAAAAATTCCATGTGGGGTGGTGCACACTTGCAGTCCTTGCAGTGAGGAGGTGGAGACAGGAGACTCCCTGGGTTTGCTGGCCAGACAGGCTAGCCTAATAGAATTCTAGGGCAATGAGAGACTTTGTCTCAAAGGAGGTGGATGGCCTCCCTGAGACTGACACCTGAAGTTGCCACATGCCTGCAAATATATGTGCACTCTCACACACATTCAAGAAATACTTTAAAAAGTTTCTCATTGGGCTGGCGCTGTATCCCAGTTGGTAGTCTGCTTTATATGCATAAAGTCCTGGGCTTGTCCCCCAGCACAGCGTAGACCACCTTTGGGGCCTAAGTTGAAGGTCATTCTTGGCTACAGGTGTTTGAGGTCAACCAGTGTGTGCTATGTGAGACCCCATTTCCAAAAAAAAAAAAAAAAAAAATTTCTATAAGGTAATATTGGTGCTTCTTGTTTCTATAGTCTTTTCCTACCTTGTCAATGGCATTTACATAATTTTAATCAGTTGCGCTGTTGTCATTGCCTCTTTTGTGAAATTGCCTCAGAGATTGTGCTCTGTTCAGGCTAATGTGTTCCTGTGTGAACCTACCTGATTTTTAAATTACTAGACCTTCTAAAGATCATTTTATATACTGAAAATATTTACACCCCTAAGAGGAGAAAATTGGTGGAGCATCTGTAGGCAGAACTTAGAATGACTTGATTCTGATTTCTTTTCTAATGCTGAAAATGAGATATTACATACAGGCTCTGTAAATAGAAATAAACTTTTTTTGTTTGCTTATTTTTATTTTGGAATGCTTATAACCCTCCTTTTCATGTGGTTGTGTTTACATCTTAAATGTTGCATGTGAAAATGTAGCAGAGTTTGCATCAAATTAACTTAGATAAACTTTGTCATGTTGTGATTTTTCTTTTTTCCATTTGAAGAATGTTAATTTGCCCATTTATTGAGTGGATTATTTGCTCTTTTTTGGTTTGCTTCTTGTTTTTGTTTTTGAGACAGGGTCTCTCTGTAGCCCCAGCTGGTCTGGAACTCCTTATGTAGACCTTGCTGACTTCCATCTTTTTTTTTTTTCTTTTCTTTTCTTGAGTTCATTTTTTATTGGGTTTTTGCAACAATAGTTCTTAATCAAATTCAGATCCCCTCCCCGATCCACATCTCCCGCATCCCCCCACCAAACCTCATGTATTCTGCCCTACGTGCTAAGACCTACTCATTTAGACATTTGTACCCAAGTCTTCAGCGCAAATGGTCCACTGGAGTCCAGTCAGCCCATCTAGTGGTCGTATGTAAGTCATACTCTCCCTCACCCAGCAGCAATCAGTCTCGAATAGCTCGTGGTCTAGTGCCGGCCTGCCATTCATTTCCTGCCTCCCCTCTGGGCCCCTGCTCAACTGAGTTGACATGGTTCAACTCAGTTGTACAACACCAGTCCACAAGTTCACATGTGCAAGCTTCCAGTGGGCCAGACACCTCCCTCTCCCTGTGTTCATGCACTAGCCCTGGCTCTTAAAATCTGCCTCCTCTTCCACAATGGTCCCTGAACCCTGGGTGGGTGAGGTTCCACATAGAAGTCCTATCTTACACACTACAGTCTCTTATTATTTAAAACTTCTGTGTGCATTGCACTCTGTTGTATGAGGAAGCTTTACTGGTGAAGGTTGGGGGATGCATTAGTTTTCTCTCCACCCCTTACTCCGCTTTGTTCCATGAGCCTTGGTTGTAGAGGTTCAACTGTAGATGTGTCACTCAGTACTGGGCATCTCTCAGACATATGTTCTCTGTGTCTGACCAGATGTGCAATTCTTCAGTAGCCTCCATCTGTTGCAAAAATGATTCTTTGATGAGTGCTGTACAGTATGCTTGTCTGTAAATATAAGGATAGATATTTAGCACATAGTAAGAAGTTTCATTTGTCCTGAGATATGAGATAGGGTTTTCTCCAGGATCTATGTAATTTCCTCCCATGTGTATTTGGCTGAATTTACAGTGCCAGTCATGAGGTTTTTTTCTTTTTCTTTTTTTGAGACTGGGCTTTTAAAAATTAATTTTTATTTATTTTTATTTTATGTGTATGGTTTTTTTTGCCTGCATGTATATGTGTCATGTTCAAAGTCTGCAGAGATCAGAAGAGAGGGTCAGATCCCTGGGAACTGAAATATGGATGATTGTTAACCGAACTCTGGTTCTCTGCAAGAGCAGCCAGTGCTCTTAACCACTGAGTCATCTCTCAAGCCATGAAACTGGGTCTTTACAATGTAGCCCTTGCTAGCCTAGAACTCACTATGTAGATCAAGCTGGCCTTGAACTCACAGAGATCCACTTGCCTCTGCCTCCCCAGTGCTGGGATTAAAGCTGTGTGCCACCAGTCCTGGCAATTATTTACTTAAAAAAATCTTTTAGTTATTTGACAATATATCTCTATCTCTATCTCTATCTCTCTATCTATCTCTCTATCTCTCTATCTCTCTATCTACCTATCTATCTATCTAGTTCCCCTATCTCCATATATATATATCCTATTTATCTTGATCCTATCTACCCCCAACTCTCCCTTTCCATTTTCCCCATATTTTGATTTACTGCTCTTGGAATAATTTTAGAACACATACATCTGTAACAGTCCAAACTACATAAGGTTTTAAGATATATCTACACTAGTGGCTTTCCAGATGAAACATGCTGTAAGACACATATTTGTTTGTTTTGAGACAGAGTCTCACAGTATAGCTCACCTTGACCTCAAACACCACCTCAGTCTCCTAAATG